CTTTTTATGTTTTTCTGTATAAAATACAAAATGAAAAATGTTCTCTTTTTTAAAGCAAAAAAATATATGGTAGAGATTAATTTCATGTAACAATAAGAAACGAAGCTCTCTCTTTTTAAATCAAACACTTCTATTTGTTTCTAAAGACACCTCAATAGGAAAAACAAAAACAACATTGTGCGTCATTTGTCCACACCATGTGGAATGGGTGGATGACCCTGCTCCAAATAGCATTTTGCTAGAGTCTCGTGGTTTATCAACCTTCTTGTTGTAAACAAGTTCTCTTAAGTTGCACACACAGGCACTTGCACATATGCACGCACCCATGCACACATAATACAYACAAACCTTCATTTCCTCTAAACAAGTGAATTTATAGGCATTACTCAGAAATTAGTGAAATGGATGGCAATTTCTTTTGATCTGAAAATCTAATCTTTCATGATGTGCTCCACTCAGTGGTTGGATGCAGATTAAAGATTTCTAGGAGCTCAGAAGCACAGTTTTGAGCTATGAGCAGTTACTGAATGACACAATAGAACCACAGAGGTTTTTCTTGGTGAATTACCTTCTGATCTCATTAAAAACAATAACAACCAAGAAGAGGTATAGTGATTACTACCTGCTAATCTCAGTGGGATACGGTGTCCCCTCTTAGGTTAAAAAAATTGAAATTGTTCTTGTCTTTAGAACACATCTCCAGTGAATCACCCATTAACCCTGAGCCAACTTTCTGTGTTGAAACTGGGGTGAACAAGCTATAAGGAGGCAGATCCCCAAAAGTCAGAAACCAGGGTTTATTGCTGTGAAGCCTCTGATGTTCTGACAGCTCCTCCGTGTTGACTGCTACTGATGGGCATCTCGGAAAGCCACCATCCCCTCCCCAGTTCTTACTACACAGGGGGCCAGGGAGGTCCCAGTCCCTGCCTCCTGGCCCTGTCACATGGAGAAAAAGCCAAATAATATGCTCATTTTACGGTGTGCATTTGGATGGACATTCTTCTAAAACGAATCATCTCCAACAAGTCTGAAGCATCTAATACATTCTTATTTTTAAAAAGCACATTAAAGTGTGTAACTTAGCTTCAGTTATTCCTTCGAGCTGGTATTTCTCACAGAACCCTATTTGTCCTTTGAATTTTGCAGAACAGAACAGTGTCTAGGGGTAGCACATGAATCTTGGGAGTCATCTAGGATCTACAGGGGACACAGCCTCTCATGCACACTTGACTGGGTCTGGTCCTATATTGGAATTGACACAAACTTGAGTCCCTCTGATTTTTCTCAAAAGAATAGGTTTGTAAAAATTAGTCAGCTGGTATAAACATAGTTTACAAGAAACACACACATACACACACAAACAGTGTCTGTCTCACTCTCTTCTATAAACAGCATACAACTGTTTCTCTCTACCGACTGTCATCGGTAGAGAAAAAATAWATAGTTGAACTACAGAAAAGCCAGCAGATAGGTTTTAGTTTTTTTTTTCCTTTCACAAGTCAATTATTAGAATGGATTTAGTGAGTGGTTTATTATCATTAGTTTTAATCTAGGTTTGTACACAGGCAAAAGCACACGTTGAATTTTTATGTGGGCCTTATGGCAAGTGACATGCAAGCATGCAAAACCAACTGTACAGGCCTGCCCTGGCAGTCTGGAGCCACAGAGATCTCTCTAAATGGCTCTCCAGAAAGAGAACAAATGGGCAAAATGACTGTACAGTGGCCCTGCTGAACATAATGATGTGCCAATGGTATGCATAGGATATCAAACAGAAAAATACTAAGATCCTATTACTGAAGGTAACAAGGAAACTGTAACCATCAGGATTGACAGCCACAAAGGATACATCAGAGTTGTTACATTTAATGCTGCTGTGAGTTTACCACACAGAATTCTCACCAACAACCACTTTGCCTATCTGTGCATTTCCTACGTGTATAGAACTGGGTGGTGTTATGCAAAGTCTTTGGACACAGCCTCCACGAAGTTTGGAGCTGACATGAGGATGCCAATGGTACAGATGATGGTGAAGACTGAGAAGGCCATGAGGCACAGGCGGTCCACCACGCAGGCTGCAAACTTCCACTCACTACAGACAGCCTCACTCTCATCCTGGCAGCGGAAGCGGTTGGCAATGTAGCGGACCTCCTCCAGGATCTTGGCCAGGTCTGGGTCCCCCTCTGAGGGCTGTCCACCATGCAGAAGGTGCTCATCGTGTGTAGGGGAACAAGCCATGCGGCCACACACAACCCCAGAGTCAGGGGTCGGGGCGCAGTGCATGCCCTCCAGGCCTCGGAAGCCGATGTACAGAAGGTTCCCGTTGCTGGTAGGAGGCCCTGCACTCGCACTCAACTCCACACTGGCCAGGCTGCAGCGTCGCTGCTTGTGCTGGCAAGCTGGGCGGACCTTGTCTTCCCCGGGCCTCTTCATGCGCAGGAACCATGCACACCAGTTAAGAAGAATGACTCTGGTCTGGGGGGACAAGAGAATGTTAAGAGAGGCCAAGAAGTGGATATTAACTGATCCTGACAGCACTGTGATCCTACATAACAGGCCTGACTTTGTTGATCCTGGGGCTAACACGTTTCATCACCTCCCCAATGATTCTATACGGGCAAGCAGTGCCAAAGCCTCACAACTGTTAGTCAAACATGAAGTGAGAATAAAAGCTATAACAGGTTTATCACCCTGGTTATGAGCTGATTTTTTTCCCTGGGGTGGGCACACATGCTGCATTCTTTAAGAAGACAGCCTTGTCAGAGGAGGCCTGGCTTGGTAAGAATACCTCTGGGATAGGTAAACAACAAAAGTCACTTTCCCTCTCTGATCTTCACACATCTGTAACCAAGGACCTTCAGATCTAATCCTCTATCTCCCATACTGTGTGTAAGGCACCCTGGAAGACCACTGTAAATCACAGAGGCACTGGGAGATTTTAACATTCAAGGACAGCCCTTGAACACAAGGACCACTGATTTGAAACAGTTCAGGCTTTCAACATTAGATGGTCMCATCTCGTGATGACATTATATCTTTGAAACACTGGTTTTCCAAGTTGCCCTGAAAAAAAAAATCAAGTTCCAATGTGAAACAAAAAAATGAAGACAGTGGTTTCCAATCTAATCCCAAGACTCAAGAGGATGTGCTGAACGTACCCTACAGGTGCTCTCATGACGTTAAGACATAAAAGCTAAATTGTTTCAACCTATGTAATAAAGACACCGTTGGGGAATATTTCCTCAGGTCTAGGAGCTCTGTGGAAAAATTCCTGAGACACCAATGTGCTGTGGACCAAAGAAGTCATAGAGCCCCTCATCTTAGGATCCCTTAGGCTACAGTGAACACCAAATAAAAGCATGTCTGGGAAAGTTCTTATATTGAAAGTTGAAAGCAGAGTTGGCAAACTTTCTATAAAGAGACAGATGGTACATTTTTAGATCTGCAGGCCACAGATCTCTGTTGCAACTACTCAGCTTACGAAGTAACAAACATAGAAAGGATGTAAACAGATGAGTATAACCATTTTCTAATAACACTGTATTTTAAAAAAGTTTCTGGGCTAAATTTGACCAGCTGGGTCTCAGTTTGCCAAACTCTGGCTCAAGTGTATTATACACATTTGGTACCAATGTGCCTGAAGAAGTTTGTGAAAAATTACCATGTGAGTTTATATTATTTTTAACTCTCTTGGAAAGAGGGGAGACAGCTAATGTCCCAAAATAAGAAAAAAAAAAAAGAAAGCATTTTTGTAGGCATCTCTAGATAACTATATAATTTTTGTAAGTTTCCGTAGGTAAGTGTATAAAAAGGGAGCTCTTTTCCTAAAATCATCCAGTTTCATTTTCTGTTTCATTTTTTGAGTATGGGAAAATTTCATCAGCAACCTAGCAGGTCTATCTCCATGTAGATAGAGATGGTAAGTTGTGAAGCTCATATCTGCAGGGCAGTCTTTCCTGACATTCATTTTTATGGTATCTTATCAAAGGTGACTGAAGCAAACAAGATCTGGGGGCAGGGAATGAATTAAAAAAAAAAAAGAAGAAACACTAAAATAATTTTCACTATAGCTTCAAAGATAGGCCTTCATTTCACAGTGTGCTTTCCACAGTAGGTGGCACTCTATATCCTAGGAAGGCTGGGTCTCCTGACCCTGGAGTGTTTTTCACCATCTGTGCCGAGGAGGAAAACATAAACCTCTGTGAAAACATCTAGGGGGAATTTGGCCCTCAAGAGACATGTCATCTCACGTGGGCCATTAAGAGCTCTAGGAAATGAGCTTAATTCTCCCATTTTACACACAGATAAAATGAAGCTCCAAGACACTAATTAATTGGCTCAAGGTCATACAATAAGCAAGTGGTTACACCAGGTAATGTACCTAGACCTCGGTAGCTTCATCAGTCAGAGACTACACGCTCTTTCAGAGTTCCAGTGACTTAGCCCAACTCCTTCTTGGAAATACCACAAAGTCTTTACCAGACCTTGAGGGAAGGTGTCCGACAGTGAGTGCAACTATACCCAGATGCAACTGTGCACATGAGAGCCAAGCAGGGTCAGGCACTTTTCCAGCCATGACTGAATCTGCACATCCCCTGAGGCACAAATCCAGCTAATATGATCCACATTGCCAAGTCTATTTTTAATTCCATGGCCTGAATTATTAGCTTTCAAGGCCAAAGCATCTCCAAAGATGAAATTATCCTCTTGGCACTTATCAAACTGTGCTCRTGACCTCTTCTGTTAGGTTATAGTTTTGTTTCTGACTGTGCAAATGTCACATAATGCCACTGCACTCAGCAGTATCTTCTTCATAGCAACAGATCATTGTAAGAGTCCCTTGGAGGCTGTTTAGGTTTTAAAAACACATGGAAGAAAAGAAAAATGTAGTATGCTATATAAAAATGAAATGTATACACTTTATATTTCATTTGTAGCCAATTGGTTTTAACAAGCTCTTATGCTAAGAGGTGAAAAATTAGCATATGCTTTTAATTAAGATTTTTCAAAAGAGCATAGTGCTATCAGGTCATTAAAAATGRTTTTGCATCTGTGTTTCATTCCCTTATCTCCATATCAGTTGAATAACTAATAAGAAATAAGTGTTCATATTTTCATAAACAAACACTAAAAGGAAAAAAAGAAGAAATTCATTTAAATGTTTCAATATTGGTGGTGGGAGCAGGGTGAAGGGTGGGAATAGGAGCTCAATTTTCTTAGGTATAGTGTTAATATGATGGACACTTTTGAAACAGGTAAATGTATCTAAATGTATCATCTGCTTCAAACAGAAAGAAGGACAGACAGACAGACAAAAAATAAACTAGAAGCCTACTCTCATATCTGTCCTGGCATCTTGTCCAAGTGTGTCAAATATATGAGAAAGTCAGATGAGAATGTAGTTGCATAYGTGCAAATGTATCCCATTTTTTAAAGGGGGTGGGCACTTCTCAAAACAAGTCTCACATATGGTAGCAATGTGACCTGTGCAGGAGGCATCATCATTTTAGGTTGAGTGACACTGTTGTTGGCACTATAAGTTACAGGTGAGTTTTTACTAAGTATATGAGAAGAGTGTACATGAAAAGGAACTTGAGGGGAAACAGTAAATTTGCAAGCCCAATATTTTTAAAAAGTGATCTTCCCTTAGTTAACTTGTAGGTAACTATGAACTACTGCACATTGAATGTTCTTAGAAAGCCCAGAAACTTTCTGTTCCTGGAGAGTATATAAATGCATCTCATACTTTATGCTACATTTAGCATGGTGGTGATTCCTAGACTCTCTTCTGGGCTTAAATACATACTAATGGGTCTCTAAAGACAGGTTCCTTTGGGGATAGAAGAGATTTTTCCATCCTAGACTAAATACTCTGGACAGGAAGACCAGGAAGGTCTGCAGGGTTCACATGAGCATGGGAGGTGAAAACTCAGGTTTTGTTCTGGTGACATGGGGAAACTCCTGGCCCTGGCTCAGTTCTAATCAAGTTATTCCATTTCTTTTCCATCCCCTTTCCTTTCTCTACTAGTAACCTATCTACCTTTACATGATAGGGTTTCCGTTAGATTATGTTTCTATGTGTATTAAGTGTATGTACACTTGGGCCCTTTATATCTGCAGGTTCCATATCCATGGATTTGAYCAACATTAAGAAAATAACTGCATCTGTACTAAACATGTACAGACTTGTTTTTCCATTATTCTCTAAATAAAATCTAAAAGATTTTAGGGTATCTACAGGCAATCCTGAAATCAATTTTCTGCAGATAYGGAAGGGTAGCTATGTTTTTGTATAGCTCATTCTGTTGTGAAGCCCTAACCGTGTTGCTAAGTGTCTGTGTCATCARTTGCTTTCTACTGTTGCAAAATTCTCCAATTTGTCCATGCAAAAGAATAGTTTTTAGAAACACTCTGTTAGCAAAATACACAGGCAGCCAGTATGTGAGCCATGCTCTGGGATGTCAGGTTAAAACACTGTCATAGGATGGATACTAAGAGGCACACTCAYCATAACTACACTCTCTGAAAAGAGGTTGAAGTCAGAGAGGTGAAGTCATATGAAAAACAGACCCGTTTGTTTTGGAGTGCTAATTTGGGGGCTGGTTTTTAAAACAGATAAACCATATGAAGACTCTGCTTTAGGGAGGGGCTCTGACTCCATGGGAGTGAGAGGAACATACCCACTTAGGCATCTTGCCCCCATCAGGGTCATGGTGGTGATATTGCAGCACAATCACTGTCACCACAACAGAGAGGCCCACAATGATCATGGTGCTGGCAAAGTACTGGGCTGTGAAGAGAACAGACACAGGGTGAGACCTGAGGCCCCAGGAGCACTGAAAGTCACAGGAGGAGTGTGCAGACCTCACTCTCTTACTTTCAGTGACTGGCTGTCTGGGCCAGGCCTATAGCCCACTGCCCACACCYCTGGTGGGAAGCAGGCAGCCTAGAACCCAAAGACCTGACTTCCCATCACTGTATAGGAGTGGCACCTCCCATAATAAACCTAATAGGTGCTGGCAGAATGCTGCTTTGCAGCCTCACAACTGAATTGGAGGATTTGCTTCCCTGACAAGGAATAGAACCCCAGCTGCAGTAGTGAGAGTATCAAATTCTAACCACTAGACTGGGTATCCTTTTGTATGGTTCCATTTATTTCCATACAGGAAGGTGCAAAGCACCTGTCATTCCTCCCCGAGCAGAAGGTCATGCCTCATACCTGTCTTGGACAAAACATATATTTCCCCCAAATACTTATTATATGGAGACCCTGAGTTATTCCTGGAAACAATGACTAAGAGTTAAATTGTATGTTTCTCCCTTTGTAACAAAAGATTTGTAGACAAACAAGGTCTCAACTAAAATAATGAAWCTCTAATGATAAAATCTTTGACCTCAAGRCAAGAATAAGTGGGAGAATTATGATATAATAGGCAATTTTGCATGTTTTTTTTCTTTGAKATGGGAGTCTCACTACGTTGCCCTGGTTKGTTTTGAACTCTTGGGTTSAAGTGATCCTCTTGCCTCAGCCTCCTGAGTACTAGCACCACAGTGGCACACCACCACTCCTAGCCATTTCAGTAACTTAAAGCCTAACCACAAAGTTGAATATCCTCTTCCCACTATTTGGGCCCAAGTGAACAGAGGCAATAGATGAGGGAGCAATACAGCTCTTCAGGGCATCAAGGACACATTTCTACTCTTTGCATCTACTGGGAAATGCTAGGGACTCTCTAAATCTGTAGTTCTAGAAAGGAGCCTGACTCTTGACTTACCTATCAATGGCACTGAATCAGATGTTGCAGGCATAATCTCTGCTACAAGCAGCATGAAGACAGTTAGAGACAGTAAAACTGTGATCCCTAAAACAAACACACAGAAGATCCTTAGACAAAACAGGCAACAAGTTCTAAATTCCCTCTACTAGTAATCGGGTCATCTAACCTGAGTTTCAAAGAATTAAGGAGTTGCTGGGGAAAGGCTTTGGGACAGATGGTTTCTTACATATGGGCATTTAAATGTTTTTCTGGAGGAAAGTCTCTATCACCTGTCAAAGTCCCAAAAGAATCTCTGACAAAGACAAGTTTTGGAAATCAGAAATTTGGAGGAATCAACACAGAACAATTATCTGTCAGTTTCTTTACCCCGCAAAATTATTGAGAGGTACCTCCACACAGCGGGAAAAAGAAACCTTGTAGTCAGAAGGCCTGGTTTCAGGTTTTGACTCTGCCATTTACTAGCTGTGTGATCTTAGATAAGTTATGTAATTTCTAAACCTTGTACTCAGAAGGTGAAATGTTTGTGATTGATGGACTGAGATACTGAGAAATTCTTTGAGATATTTAAAAAGTCATTTCACCATTCAAAGTTTTACTTTACTTATCTTCATATGGAAGCAACTGTAAGGAATTATGCTGCATACAACAATAGACAAATGCAAGCTGAAACCGAGATAAACTCTTCCCTGTCCACAATGAAGGCTGACTTGTTGCCACCATGGAGAAAAAGCACAGGCACTTCCGCGCATAATCAAACTAGCTGGTCCCTCCATGAGTGAATCCATACTCTTTGTAGGATCAGAGGATTCCAGGATCCTGTGTTATTCTCAGGAGGGTACATCCATCCAGTTTGGAGCACAAATCAGGAGCCTATGATACTCTGGAGCTGCTTTGGTCTAAGAGGTTCATGAAGAATAAGTCAGGCAGGCCCTTGGGACCCCAAAATACATCCCTGTACCATCCACAGTGAACCCTACAGAGCTGACCTAAAGGAAGGGCCTCTAGTCTCAGACTCTTGCCAAAGATATGGGCACTTACCAAGGGAGATTTTCTCCCCAGAGTCTGCAGGGAGCAAGAACACTAGCAGGGCCAGAGCTGAGATGAGCACACAGGGGATGAGCAGATTAAGGCCATAGTAGAGTGTCCTKCGGCGCATGGTTACTGTGTAGGTGACATCCGGGTATGGCTCTTTGCAGCACTCATAAAACTTCTCACTCCTTTTGCCTGGAATTCCTGCATGGGGAGGAGGAGAAAAGGAACTATCATTTGAAAACATAATTACTGTGTTTGTTTCCATGTATATACCACACACGAGCATAGCCCTGGAGTTTGCTAAGTGCTAAAAATCTTRGTAACTGATGTTTGAACAAACCCTTGCTGGTTTGTTATAAAAATTTTTTAAGGTATCTCAATGATACTTAAGCAAATGGGTAAATATTCTTTTGAAGGATTATAAGTACATAAAAGTACATAAGAATAAATGATGCACTTTCAATTTTTATCATTATAAAAGTAATTATAGTCATGAGCCACATAATGATGCTTCTGTCAAAGATGAAACAAGTGAATCTGGGRTTGTGGCTCAGTGGTAGAGTATCCATTTGRCTTTCATGAGGCCCTGGGTTTGATTCCCCAGCACCAAAAAGCAAACAAATAAAAAAGAAATTGATAAAAAATGTGCTTCAGTTTTATATCACCTACTGAACTATAGCTGTCTCAGTTTGTGTATGTACAGTGTATGATGCTTGCATAATGACAAAATCATGCAACAAAGCATTTCAGAATGCATATTCAGTGTTAAGTGAATCTTAACTACATTGCTTTTCCATTTTAAATGGCTGTTGATAAAATAAAAGTGAAAATGACTGCAGAGTAGTAAAAAAAATGTTTTTCTGAGTCTTAGAGATTTGCTGACGGGGTAGATTGCAAGATAAATTTCATGTTGAGAACTGAATCTTACAGAAGGAACAATTTTTTCAGAATCTAACAATTCCTTGCAAGATGTGAGGAATGCTACAATGACCAGTTTGCCTCCTGAGCTGGACAATCCAATGGACTATGAAATTTATGATCACCCTGATTTGCATCCATTTCCAACTACCAGAGTTGCCTCAATCTTGTTGATCTTTTCCCCCCAATGCTAAGCTTTTATACCCACTTCTTGTTATAAACCCCAAGCTCAACTATCCCTAAGCAGACTTGTTCAGTGTGTAGCCAAACCCATTTCCCAATATTTGTAAATGTGTTTTGCTCCTGAATAAAACTGTTTTTACTTTATCTGAACCTCATTTATGACATTCACACTGTTGATTGAAAGTTGCTGTGCAATCATATTTTAGCAATGGCGGGGACTTGAAGATGTCACCAGCACTGACTTGTTTAAACATGTCCTCACCAAGCTGCAAATTCCTCCTGAAAGTGTTAGATTTACTCATTGTTGTTGGTTTCTCATCCTATAGCGCTCAGTAAATGATGAAGAATGCTGCAGAGTTCAAAAAATGCTCACACTGGAAAGGTCAGTGGAAAATCCCTAACTTTTAAACTTCAACAGGAAGAAAGCAGTTTTTTTTTTTTTCCAGGCTGCAAGTCTTGTGTCTTTGCTGGGCTTACCCACGAGATCCCATTCTCCGTTGGGGATATAGCCACTGATATCTGCCTCCTGCATCTGCAGGTCCAAGGACCACCCTCCATAAGACCAGGATCCAAACTTCAGTTTGCAATGCTGCACGTCAAAGGGGAACCAGCGCACATCAATATAGCAGGAACTCTTGAATATGCCTGTGTTGGTGATGGAAACAACCAGAAGGCTGAAGTGGAAGACAACTGAGATGGACTCAAAATACACAGCAGTCCCTCTAGACCATGTTGCACCTTCAAACTGCTTCTAAACCTACCCAGAAAAAAATTGTATATATTTTATCTATCTATCAATTGATCAATCTATTGATCTATCAATCTATCTTGCAAACCTCTAGACAAGCAGCTCACCTAAAGCTTCACTGTCTTTTGAAATTCAAAAACCATGACAGCTTCTGTTGAAGAAGACTTCTCAGGGCTTTTTGTGCAAAGAAATTAGTTTTATAAACTTGTGTTTGCTCTGTGCATCAGACTCAATAGTAGGAGAAAAATAAAGAACATTATAAAAAAAAAACCCTCAAAGGAATTAATAAAAATGCTCAAGAATCTAAAGTATGGGGGCATGTATTTCTGTGTGGGTATGTTTGGTCTGGGAAGGCATTTTATTTAGCTAACCAATTGGGAAAATATGTGGTTATCYAGAAATAAATGTGGAGGATTCTAGATCAAGAATAGAACAACAGACTGGGGTTATGGCTCAGTGGTAGAGCGCTTGCCTAGCTTATGTGAAGCACTGGGTTYGATTTCAGTACCACATAAAAATAAATAAGTAAAGATATTGTGTCCATCTACAATTAAAAAAAATAAAAAATACAACGAAACCTGACAGGTGTAAGCCCAAGAGAATACAAGGAAGGGTTTCCACTGAAAGAGGAAGTTCAGGCTCTGGTAAGTTGAAAGTGAATTTCCCAGAAGGTCATGAAGATGAAATCAGATAAACTCATTCTAGTTTTTATTTTTATGCCCTGTTCTCTTCCCTGCTCAGAGGAGATTGAGCAACACTAGAAGGCATGAATGGCTTAAGTGTCCCACTGCTGGTGGGGAAAGGCAGGTACTCTGTAAATGTCAACTATCGAGTTAAATAAAGACCATAGGGAGGCAGGGACTCAAAGTGCCTTGAGAACCCAGACTTCACCTCACAGCCAAGTTGTGAACAGATAATAAATTATTTGCCCCCTCAAGGTCCTCTAAACATGATTTGCAGCATTATTTCAAATGTTTATAGGAATCTGGAAGTCTTAACTGACACTCCCCTTCCATTAGTAGTGTGGATTCCCCCAAACCCAGACTATTTGCAAGTTAAAACATTCTATAAATATACAATTCCATTTCTACAAAAAAAATCCAAGAAAGACACAGAAAACAGATCTGTAGTTGCCTGGGGCTGGCTGTGGGAGTGGGGATTAACTGCAAATAGGCAAAAGGGATCTTTGTGGAGTGAAGGGAATGCTCTAAAATGGGATTGTGGTAATGGTTGCACAACTCTAATAAATTTACTAAAAATCATTGAATCATGCACTTAAAATGTATGATATGTAAATTCTACCTCCATAAAGCTGTTAAAAATAAATGCATAAAATGAAGCAGGAAAAGTCACGTTATAATCAAGTCTCTATTTCAAAACCTACACCCAAAACASTCTTTTATACCCATGTAACACTAAGCATCACTAAGCAGGGGCAGAGCAGTGTCCCAGAACCAGCCCTACAAGACCCCAAGGCACAGGGAGTTCTGTACCCTTCCTTCCAGTGTAAGGCATTGTCCCAGGTCACAACACAATGTGTCCCATCCTGACCAGACTCCCAGGGCCACTGAGGAAAGGTCATAGGATGGAGTCTCACAGAGTCTGTTGCGTTCAGAGGATTTGAGGGTCCAGAGTGTTGCCCTGGTAGCTGAAGATAAACTCAGTCCTAAGAACAATTTGCAGCAACATATTCCTCTACCCTGGAGACTACTGGACACCATCTTCTAAAATGGCCCTTATAATGGCACTCATAACAGAAACTATAACTTGAAGGCCTGGTGAAAAGGAACTCAGATGTGCTGGAAGGCATTCCACAGCTGGTCTACAGAGGACCCACTGTCAGAAGGAAAGGCTGGGGTAGTAAAAATGGGGGGGGGGGAATTGCCCAAGAACAGTTGTGTTAAGACAGAAAACCTGAAAAGCTAGATTTCTTCAATCTATACAAATATTATARGGAGGTGTATGTCTTTGATAGATTCAGTCACTCATCCATTCACATGGGCCACATATGGTTGAGGAGCCAAGGATTCTAAGGTGAGCAAACACAGATTCTGTCTAGAGGATGTTTATCATCAGCTGACAGAAAGAGCATGTAAACAACAATCCAAAAAGCAAAGCTGACTTTGCTGTGTGCAGTGGAGTGAGTAAGACAGACTGTTGAAGGGGTGTATGTGTGTGTGTGTGCGTCTGTGTGTGTAATGTGAGAATATGTGATGTGTGTGTGGTTGTGTGTGGGTGGTGTGAGTGTATGCACACTGGTAGTGAGATAATTGCAGGTTCCTTTTGAGTAGGCAGTTAAGTAAGCCAGACAGTAGTATAGGAGAAAATCCTTGAAAAGAATATGTTAAAAAAAAAAAAAAGTTCTGAAAGCTAAACCCAAGATTGGTTAATATTCCTATGCTAAAACAATCCACATTGTGCCTCAAGGCCAAAAATCTGAATTTACCAAGCTGTGGATACCTCAATGAACAGCCTAGGGCCTTATAAGTCCCAAGAAATAATGGGTTTGGGGATGGGGGGTGGAGGTCAATCCCAGAAAGTGTCTCACCATGAGAAAGCTGAAAAGGAAAAAAAAAAAAATTGTTCAGGAACAAGTCAGTAATGAGCTCCCTAGAAAGCACTGAACCTAACATCTAACCCATGAGTGCTCTTGAATGCATGAACTCAATACACCATGCAGCACTCCCACCATCTCCCCCAACACCTGGAACACCTGCCAAGACAGGAAGTCGAGGAAAGTGGAGGACTGAAGTGGAGGAGAGGGGACCTGATTGTCTGATTTTCGGGTTGGAAGGGAGAAAAAAATGGTTTGGATATCAGACTTGTGGGTCACAACAGAGAAGAAAGGGCATGTTTATCTGACTTACATGTTGAAATGGAGACCAAAGGACCTGAGTATCTGGATTATGGGTAGAAAAGAGAGTTGGAGATTACCCCCAACAAGGAAGGCTTGCTTTAATTATGGACTGACTTTACAGAGCACAGGGCAGAAAGTAAGAACCCCCGGCACATGCTGGCAAAGACCACTTGAGCCAGGATTCCAAGAAAAAAGAGAAAGATGGCCGTCTTGAGGGGGCCCTGAAAGCACAGAGAGAAGGGAAGAGGAAGAAGCAGAATGCATGTAAGAGCCAGTTGACCCTCAGGTGGGCCATCAACTGGGCTGATATTTGCTTAATTTACTTGCTTAAATTTTCCAACTGGAAGAAGACAAAGAAAATGGGTCTTACCTGGAGGAAGATACTGGCAATGTCCAGAAGAATTCACCAAGACGTTGGTGTGGAATGTGGCATCAAACCTCTCATCAGCACTAGAATCAGAAAATGGAGTTTTGTGAGCCAGTGCTATGAGGCTGTGGATTCCTCAGTGCACTTAGATTAGTTGAGGCCCTGGTCAGAACAGTAGCAGCTTTCTAGGGGCTCCTGTTTGTATCCAGGTCTCTAAAATCAATTAAGGAGAACACCTSTAGATGGAAAAAAAAAATCTCAACATCTCCACAGGAGATAAGGAACATAGGTGCATGTGGCCACCCCGTTCACCTCAYAGGACAGGGATTGTGACCTTCTATGTTCAAAGCTTTACTTCCAATCTCTTCAAAGGGGCCCAATACTTGCTGAGGATTAACAAATGTACTCCATATGTTTGAAACTGCAGGTGCAGGAGGGAGCTGGACACAGAACCCCAAAGGGGCTCTGGTCCACAGCTGKTAATGATGAAAGTGGGGGTAGGAAAAGATAGCAAATTTAGCACAAGTTTTAGATGAATGTGCCCCAAGACCCTCCCCTGTTGGTGACAACTTAGATAAATGCACACAGAGGCCCGTGCACACCCACACATACACACACCCCTAAAAGGGGGAAAAAAAGGATTAAAAGTAAAGACCTAAATTAACCATGACTTGCTTTCCTATTTTCTGACATTTCACACCTGAAGCCTTGCTGACCTGGAGGAACCGCCCTTCCTGGGATTAGTCAATTCCTAGAAACAGTAAACAAGTCTTCAAGAGCTCTTTTCAAATAGAAATCAATCAATCCAGAGCCTACCTCTCCACTCCCATTCTATCAGGCTCTCACATTTGGGGGTCACTATCCACCAGCCCTAATCACCCCAGGGATGTGAAATTATTCAAATCAGCCCATTATAAACCTGCTTATTCTGCCTGACTTGTTCCTTCCCTGGCAAACCACAATCAAAGCTCCTATCTATCTACATTTTCCCTGGTTTCTTTGCCTTATAATCATTCCGGCACTTCCCCCTGTATCCCCGACTCAGGGGTGAGTTATGCTTCTTGCTGTTAGGAAACTTTGAATAAAATCTTCTTCCTTAGCAACAGTCAGTTCTGTGTCTATATGTCTTACCATACTGATTAAAATAAATCCTGGATACTGTTAAAACACAGTCCTTCTACATATAAATAATAATAAACTGCCTCAAGAAAACCTAGGCAAAAAAAGATGCTCATTCCACAGAGTCAAACTGCCCCTCATTTTGATGACCAGAAAACTTCTAGTAAGGGCTGCCCACATGGACAGAGGCTCAGTGAGCCTTTTCTATGCCTTGGTCCTCTCAGAGAAAACTCAGAACCACTACATATTTGTGATCAGTCTTTACATGAGATTTAYAATCAAGGATAAACATCTTTTAAAAATCCAAAGAGATCTGTCCATGAAAAGAATACAAAATTACTTCTTTAAAAATGTAATATTCTCCCCCAAATTCGAGAGGATAATGCAATTAGGAAAACAGCAATATGGAAATTAAAGCTAAAATTGATGAAATAATTTTCTAAATAAATATTTGGAGATTTGGCTGATAAAAATCAGAGATGACAAGTAGGACAGAAATGATGCACCTCCTAAGGACAAGGCCAGGAGAGCTCCAGTCACGAACAGACGTCCATCCAGAGACAACAGGAGAGTGGGAGGGAGAAAATTACCAAAGAAATCACACAAAGAAAAACTTCCAGAGCAGAAAAAAAACCATTCAAGCATGAAGGCAAAGAAAGGCATTTTCAAGAATGCTGAAGCCTCAAAGAGCTTTCTCCCACATATGTGTCCTTGGTCAGCTTCAGAAAAATGAGGATGAAACTGAGAAAGAAGAAACAAACTTTTAGATGAAACCTGGGGACAGAGGTCAGGATCACCACAACAATCCAGACAGGAGCCCAGGAACAGAGAGTCCCAATGAGAGATGTTAGAGATTTCTCCTAGGAAATGGAGATGCAGAGCAAGAGACAGAAGAAATAACAGGCTGGAAAACGTCATGGATTTGATTTAAAATATATTAAAAACCATTTTCAAATAAGAATAACAGGAACCWGAAGCTGAAGGAAAAAAGTACATAAGAAAGTCATGATTTGAATATGATAAATATGAGGAATTTTAAAGGAAGAAAAGGAGGGAGGGACGGAGGCTCAGTTGACATAAAAGAGTTATCCACTGAGACAATAAAGAACACATCCACCTGRTAACATCCAAACACCAGAAAGGAAAGACAGAGAGGAAGTAGGATAAGGATGTAAATATTCTTGCTTGATTKTAGTCTGTATCTGACTGCGTTAATGAGCCATATCAGAAACCATAACTGGGCATAAAATAGTTAAAAATGCAAACCTTCAAAAATGTACTCAGAATAGCACCATGGTTTTCAAACTAGGTTCTCTGGGACCCTAACATGCTATGGAAGTCTTTTGAGATKTCTGCAAATGCTTGATTCCAATATTTTCTTTTCTTTGTATTTTTAAAATACGAATTAAGGTCCATGCAATCAAATGATTATACATAAAATTTTAACTTTTCAGAGATTACCAATATTAATTTATGGGTCACTTTATTCCCCTTTGGGTGAGAGATAAACTGAAATTTCTCTTGCCATGAATGTACACCACATTTGAATTTCTTGTAAATGATTCACCACATGAGATTTCAGTTTTGCATTACTCTTAAAAAATGCAAGTTTGTGTCTATAGTTACATAACAGTGAATCTACACCAGACTTGGCATGTGTTCTGCCACTGACAATGGTCCTTGGCAGCAACAACAGAAAGTGTGGTCTGATGCCATGCCACAGGATACAAAATTTTGTGTATTTTAGGCTTGGGTTTCTTTCCTGGTTTTTATATTTATAATAAATACTATGAGCATCTGTTAGATCAATGATCCAACTCTGGAAAAAAAAAAAGCAGTTTCTACGAGCTTTTTCTCCAAGCATTTATTCCAATTTAAGTGAAGAGATTTTTAAGACCACAAGGGGARTAGGTTAAAACAAGATTAAAAAACTGTTGCCATTAGCAACAGCTTACCTGTGTGACTCCATGATTTCAAAGTATTGTTCATCCATACAGAATACTGAGATACATGGGATTGTGACATTGCAATTGTTATCAAAACTCGAAAATCAATATACACGATAGCAGTTAAAATGTTCTTTCCCATAGGCAAGTTGATTTTATCAATAAATAATACAAAAGTGAACTCATGTAACAGATGTGTGCTAAAAAGTACTTTATCTGTTTTGAACATAAGGGCTGGAGATAAGATTGACTTGAAAAGGGACCTTGTTGCAAAACACTGAGTTTGAACGTAGCTCTCCAAGACAAATAATGAGATTTTTCTGAAATATAAATGGCTAAAGCCACTCATTTTGTGGGTGGCCACAAAATCCACAGTCTGCTGCACAGCCTGGCCTTTTGCACACAGAAATGTCCGACAGATGCCAGAACACAGCAACCACAGTGCCATGTGATCTTGAAGCCTTCCTGCTGGGAAAATCTGATAACCACAGAGATGAGATTGGTCCACAGGGAATCACTTCATTCCTCTCTCTGCTTTTGTGTATATTTGAAATTTTCTATATTAAATAGTTTGAAATGGTGTGTATATATATATATATATATATATATATATGTATTTTTTTCCTTGACTACTGGAAGACACAAGGCATCCATAGAGTTTTGAGGATGCCCAACCTGGTCCCTAGGTTTCCTGCCTTCCTAGGGCTGCCTTCCTCTGGCTGCCTTCATCCTCCTCCAGCCAGAGATGACCAGAGTGCCATCTTGGTGTAAAGAGACCTTTGAGTCTCACCACCAACCACAAAGGGGACACTCACTGAGGGCAAATTTAACTCAGATACTCAGGATATAGGTTCTGTCCTTAGGGGAGGGGTCAGGAGGAAAGGCCCCTACACAGACTCCAGAGATGGGCAGAGACGCTACAAAGTTCCGCCATGCTTCTAGAAGGGGACATGATCTTATCCTGTTCCTGAGGATAAAATTAAATGATGGAGGCTTCAGGAACTTCTGTTTCCCTAGACCCTGGGTGAGAAAAACAGTATCTAAGCAGTGAGGCTAGAAAGGGGCTTGGGGAAAAACTGAGGGTGGCTGTGCCAAGCAGGGTTCAGGGGCYCAAGCCTAAGGGGATGACAAACAATGCTTTCAGATGCAGGGAAAGCATAAAGTGGGAGATTCCACAGGGCATAGGTGGATCGTGTGGGTCTGAACTTGGAACTCTCCCTTCTCCACATCCTTGGGGTCCCATGTAGTGCCTCACTGTATCTTGTATCTGCAAAGAGCCCTGGAATTAGATCCCTCTGATCCCAGTTTCAGGATAAACTCCTCAACTTGCCCTGTTGCCATGAGCACCACCACTGAGCTTGAGAGGCTCAACCATAATCATGAAAGGGAGAGTGTCTGGGCCAACCACAGAGAAGGAAGAAATGGACCACCAGAGAGAAAAAATAAAAATAAAAAACAGTGAAGCTCAGTCATCAAGAAGTACCAGYAAGTCCAAGTCCCAATGGAATATGTGTTCCACAGAATAAGAATGTGCATCCAGGAACAGATGAAGCTTTGAAAAAAAAATCCAGGTATACTGTACAAAGAGGACACCATGTGTGGGTTCAGAATGACCCCCAACTAATGAAGTCTCAAGTGAAATCAGTCCCATCCCATCTGAGCATTTAATATCCTTGAAAGACTATGAGAAGGAACAGGAGACTAGCTGAAAATGCTCTTATCTGAAAATAAGTAAGACAGGAGGAAGGAGAAGCCCATATATTTCAGAAGACAATGTTTCTAAGGCACCATTTATTTTAGATTTCTAAAGAAAGGAAAAAAAAAACTGTAAAGTACATATTAAGACACAGGGTAAAGGCACTACTGATGCAAGGTAGGTCCCAATTTCAAGAGGGAAAACAAGTTTGCTTAAAATAGATGGATTTTGTTAGATGAATTTTATACATTTGTACCTATATCTATACACCCTGTCATAGATATTCTGATTAAGTTCCATGTTTTCTTCTAAAACATTAAAG